CCTGTATAACCAATAATTAATAACCAATTCATTACTGTTGGGTGCCTGGCAGACACCCAAATGGGTGAAGCCCTGAGGGTCCCAGGACAACAAGGAATGGTGGGGACTGTCACAAAGGGAATCCACCCAACGAAGTAGCTACAACTCCCCGCCAGCAGACCCCACCTGCTAAGAGGAGCTGGAAGTTCTTACTTTCAGGTGAAATCTTCAGATTGGTTTTTTTTTTTGAGATGGAGTCATGCTCTGTTGCCCAGGTTGGAGTGCAGTGGTGCGATCTGGGCTCACCGCAACCTCTGCCCCCAGGGTTCTAGCAATTCTCCTACCCCAGCCTCCTGAGTAGCTGGGATTACAGGCACCAGCCACCATGCCTGGCTAATTTTTTTGTATTTGTAGTAGAGATGGGTTTTCACCATGTTGGCCAGGCGGGTCTCGAACTCTTGACCTCAGGTGTTCTACCCACCTCAGCCTCCCAAAGTGCTGGGATTACAGGCATGAGCCACCGCACCCAGCCAACTCTTCAGATTTTTAAAGTGTTGTTCTAAGTTTATAATGTGCTGTGTTGGTCAAAAGGACATCAGTGGGCCTCAGGGTCCTAGAGGTGGATGCAGGAGCCTCACTGGGTGTGGAGTGGGGAGGAGAGGGCCTCAGCCAGGGGCTGTGTTTTACAAGCCCTAACCTGGCTTTCTTCACGGAGCCTCTGTCACCCTTTGAGCAGCTGCGATTGACAATTTCCCCAACAGCATTGGTCCCCACCCCTCGGGAGAACACTGAACTTCATGTGGAGAGACCAGAACCGGCACACTCAGGAACAGGCCGTGGAGCCTGGAGGGACCTTAGTCCGCCATAGTAGCTGAGCCTTAAGGAGTCCAGGGACTTGCCCGAGGGGGTGCAGCCAGCACGGGGCCCAATGCAGCGTGGGCACTCCTGGCCGCCTGCCTGGACGCACCCTCAAATTCCGCCCTGCCACAGAAACACAAAACACTGCTCGGAAGCAGCCCAGCCGTACTCAGAGCCGATGCTCCACCTACCGCTACCTTCCACTTAATTTTCCAGAACTCTGCTCCCTCCCTCCCGCTCCATCCATGGCCTCTTCACCCTTGATGGCTTTTTCTGGAGCTTTAAGATTTCACACAGCATTGAATTTGGGAGGGAATTCATTTAGGAGATTGCAGCCTTAGCAAAAAACCAATCCAAATATCAGCATGGTCTTTTTTGAGTTCTTCTAAATGTAACAAAATAAATAATTTGAATACGAGAGAGGGAGAGAGCGAGACAGAGAGGGTTTTACAGATGATGAATGTCTTTCTTTGTGGTCCATTCTCCCCTGCTCGTCTGCAGCAACAGGAGCGAGGGGTGGGCACCCACAGCTCAGGACATCACTTGGGGCTGGAGGTCCCAGGGCATGGGGAGAACTCCTGATCCAGCTCTTACGGTACCTGAAATCCTACCAGCCAAGCTCTGGGCTTGAAGGGTTTTTTCTCTTCTATTTTTCTTTCTTTGTTTTTAAGCATATTGAGTGAAAGCTTTTTCTCCTCTAAAGACGCTTTATCAAAGTGCGAATGTTCTGGGGAGAGAGAAAAACCCCCTATACTGCCTACCCTATCTTCTGCCCGGTCACTGGCTAGATTGAAGAGCCACAAGGTCATTTGTGGGCAGACAGGTCTTAGCAGAATCTGAGAGGAAAAGGGGCAAGGGTGAGCCCAGCAGAGGGGCGCCCTTACATTTGGAAGTGCAAACAGCCTGGGGAATTCAGGAAAGGCTTCCTGGGGAAGAGGATTTCATGCTGGTCCTGGAGCAGGAGCAGGTGTGGCAAATGAAAAGCAGGGAAGGCAAGCGGGGCCAGGCAGAGAGAACAGGACATTCAAAGACCCAAAGACAAGCTCCGCAGGGCATGTGGGGTAGAGCGGAAGGAGGCAGGAGCCACACTAAGGAGTTTGCACTTCCCATTATGGGCAACTGGGAGCTACTGAAGGCTCTAAGCAGGGAGGGGAGCAAATTAGATTTGTAGTATAGAAAAAGTCACTCTAGCAGGGCACTGTGGCTCATGCCTATAAAATCCCAGCACTTTGGGAGGCTGAGACGGTCAGATCACCTGAGGTCAGGAGTTCAAGACCAGCCTGGCCAACATGGTGAAACCTCATCTCTACTAAAAACACAAAAATCACCCAGGCGTGGTGGCGCAAGCCTGTAGTCCCAGCTACTCGGGAGGCTGAGACAGGAGAATCGCGTGAACCCGGGAGGCAGATGTTGTGATGAGCCGAGATCACGCCACTGCACTACAGCTGGGGCCAGAGAGCAAGACTCCGTCACACACACACACACACACTCACACACACACACACACACACACACGAAAGAAAAAGCTGCTCTACTGCAGTAGGAAGTCTGCGAAGCTGGGAATCAAAATGGAAGAGGGGGCCAGGCATGAAGCAATTGTGGGAGTTCTGGTGATAAGTAGTGATACGTGGTGATGATAGGTGGTGATATGGGGTGATAAGGGGTGATAGGTGGTGACAGGTGGTGACAGGTGGTGATAGGTGGTGACAGGTGGTGATAGGTGGTGACAGGTGGTGACAGGTGGTGATAGGTGGTGACAGGTGGTGACAGGTGGTGACAGGCGGTGTAGGTGGTGACAGGTGGTGATAAGTGGTGATAGGTGGTGATAGGTGGTGACAGGTGGTGGTCGCCTGGACCCTGGTTGTGACAGGTGGGATCCGGAGGTCAGTGGTCCAGGGCAAGGTTGACAGCAGGGCCCGCAGCAATGCCCCTACATCCGAAGCCCAGTCATCTGGACCCTGTCCCTGGGAGCAAAATGCACCCCTCCCTGCTCCATCCGTCCCCATCCTCCCGCTACTTGGCCAAGGAGACAGGGGCTCTGGCATCGGTACCTGGCTGGTCCGGGTGATGCAGCGGCGGATGAGGTCTCTGATGTTGTTGTGCTTGTCGGTCTGGAAGTATACAGTAGCACTGGATTTTTCCTTCAGGTAGGGCTTCTCGGCCGAGGCCCAGCTGTGCAGTAGGGCCGGCTCACTGCCCTCCGAAGCCACGGGGAAGTAGGTGCCTGACTGCAGGGAGCTGGAGTCCAGCGCCTTAAGGCCTGGCTCGGCCCCTCCCAGAGGTTCTGGGGGGCAGGGAGGCTCCCTGACCTGGGCCTGGATGTACTGGGCCTCCACTGAGGACAGGAAGTCCACCTCACCTTCCTGGCTGAGCGCTCGCCAGTAGGCTTCAGGACCCCCATCCAAGAGGGCGTCTGTGGCCAGCCGGACGCTCTCATTGTCACTGAAGTCAACCTTGGCTGGCTGGACCCACTGGCTCTTGACATCTTCCAGACGCTTCCGGATTTTGCCCAGGTGCCTCGACCGGCTCATGCTGCCCGTCCCTGGGTGGTACTGGGGGAAGCTGGCACGTCAGCTCCTGCAGATGTGGGAAGCCAGTGGACCGCACCCTGGAGGAGTGAGGCTCCCGCACCCACCGGGAGGCTGCCTGCTCCCAGGCCCAGCGTGCAGGGCGGCTCTGAGAAGTGACTTCCCGCTGTCCTGAGCAGCGCTTCTCAGAGCTCCTCATCTGCAGCCCCGGGATTGGCTTATCTCTCAGGGCTACCTGCCCTGCCCTCGGGCTGGGAGGGCTGGCTCAGACACCGCCTTGGCACAGTCAGCCAGGGATATTTCCTCTCCTCCCAGCCGCAAGGGGAGGCGAAGGTGAGCCAGCTTTCCTGCTGGGTTTCACAACTCACCCTCAGGCCTTCGTTACCAGGCAGGGAGCCTCCCCACCAGCTGCAGGATGGGCCCAAAGGAAGCCTGCCTGCCTCTGCGCCCCTCCTGGACGCCTCGGCTCCCACGCTGTTTCAAAGACAACGAGTGCTGTTTCCCCTATGGGGGAAACAGGCCATCCCTGAGATGCCCCATTCCCCCTGTGAGAGGAGGGGAGCTGGACACCGGCCAGGGAGAGCTGTGAACCAGGCACACCTTTCCTTGGTCACACCCAAGTGCCCACCCCTCCCTGCCCTATAAAGGATCTCCTCTTTCCCATCCCTACTCATATATTTGTCATTGTCTTGTTTGCAGAGACCACAAAGAGGTTCTAGTTTTCGGGCCAACGCTGCTTCGCTGGAAGTGGCTGCTTGGAACACCATCTGGAGAAGGAGCCAAGCCTGTGTTCGGCCCAGAAGCCCAGGGCACCAGTGGCTTCTTGGCACTGGAGCAGGAGGAACAGCACATGGGTTTGAAATCTACAAACTCCAAGGGGCGTGGCCATGTGTTCTTTCCAGATTAGATTGCAGCCTGACAATGGGATGAAATGCCTAGAACCCTGACTCTTTTTGGTTGGGCTCTGCTGGAAACAGGCTCTGAGATTGGGATTTGAGTACAAGTGGTTAATCTGAAGGCCATTCCTAGAAGCACAGAGAGAGGAGTGGGGAAGAGAGACGGGAAGGGAAGGAAGCCAGGCCAGGCAAGTTGATGAGCAGGTAACTGTTGTTGACATCTGGGTTCATGGACATCTGTGGGACATCAGGAGGTTCCAGCCTGCGGGAACCTCTGGGTGATGGTGCCAAATGCATCTCAAGGTTTTTCTGCCCAAAGGGTGAGAAAGCTGCCGAGTTTATCTAAGGAGCCCTAGTTATCGCTGGCTGAGGGCTGCTCCCAGGGCCAGTTCACCTAGCACAGCCCTGAAGCCAGAGAAAGCCTTCAGGCAGTGGCAGGTGCTACGGCAGAGAGTGCTGGGGAGTGGTGAGGAGTGAAGAAATGAAAGGAAGGTCCTGATGCTATCTGCTCAGGGATGACACCAAGAAATCAAGATTGTGTGGTCTTCAGAGCCAGGATCTGATAAGAATGTCTCTCAGTGGCATAGCCATTCTTTGGAGAAAAGCAGCTATGAGCACCTGTAACCCTACTGAAGCTGTGGCCCTTGTGGCTCAGCCCAGCAGTACCACAGTATTTTTTAAAGTGCGGCATGGCCGAGTGCAGTGGTTCACACCTGTAATCCCAGCACTTGGGAGGCTGAGGCAGGTGGATCACTTGAGGTCAGGAGTTCAAGACCAGCCTGGACAACATGGTGAAACAGCGTCTCTACTAAAAATACAAAAATTAACTGAGCCTGGTGGTATGTGCCTGTAGTCCCAGCTACTTGAGAGGCTCAGGCAGGAGAATCGCTTAAACTGGGGAGACAGAGGCTGAATCTGGGAGGCCAAGGCTACAGTGAGTCAAGATCGTACCACTGCACTCCAGCCTGGGCAACAGAGTGAAACTCTGTCTCAAAAATGAAATAAAATAAAAGGAATCTCTTCTCTCTCTCTCTTATTTCTTTTGAGGAATGTCGAAGGAATCCAATTCACAATCCTGGGCAATCCTCTTGTTATTCCATTTTTTTCTCCCTACAATCCCTGGAGAGTCGAAGAGGGCAAACCCAATAAACCCTCTCTCCCGCTGCCTCTTTGGCTCTATGGCCTCTCCCTTCTGCCTTTCGCCAATTCTTGCTTCTGGAGATTGACGTAGCCCTTCTCCCACATCCTCCTCCCGTCTTCCCTCCTCCCCCGCCTGGTCTGTGTCCTCCTCAGGCCATTCTCTGAATCTGCATCACCAAGTCCTGTCCCCAGTCTATCGAGATAGACCTTGGGGTGGGGCAGTGGTCCATGGATTTGCTCGGCTTCACTCCATGGCTCCAAAGCTGTCCCTGGAGACTATACTCTCAGTGACTGGTCCCCGAGTTCATTACTAGAGAAGTTTCTCTGAATGTGTAGAGCACTGGGAACCACGAGGAGGGGATGAGCGTTCTCTCCTGAGCATGAGGTGGCTTTAGGTATTGCTTCATGGCAATTTGGCAACTGCCATATGTCAATGAAGACGGTTCTTCTCCTCCTCTGGAAGGGGAAGAGGAAGAGGACACATTGAGTGGTTCCCATTTATGTTAATTTTTTAAAAAGTTGTCAGCAGCTCCTCATTGCCTGTTAAACTAAGTACCAAGTCTTGAGCCTGCCTGCGACCCTGCACAAAATGGTCCCGTATGTTCATTCCACCCTGGCTTCTCCTCTACTTGGCCATCACTGAGTGCTCACTGCATGCTAGCTGTCTGTACTGAGGGAGAAATGGATTATTAGTCCTCATTTCACCAAAGAGGAAACCAAGGCTCAGAGAGGTTGAGTTACTTGCCCAGGATCACACAGCTGGCAAATGGCAGAGCCCATGTACTTTCCACCATTCCAAGCTTCACTTTTTTCTTTCCTATTCCCCTTCCCTTTCTACTCACAGAGCATTACAAGTCCTCTTACTGGTTCCCGAATATGCATAGGGGAGAATTTTTAAAGTAGGTGGGTATTCTGGGGTTCTCCTTTCACCTGGATGTAATTCTCTTTTTTGGATGAATAAATGCTGGAGTGCCTCCCTGAGACTGAGCTGAGCTGAGTATCCGTGACCTGTACGGTCAATTTTCTCCCTGTCCTCTCACAGAGCAGCTCTTTAAAACAAAACAAAACAAGGCATCTGAATGGAACGTTCCCCTCTAGAGCGCTGCTTCTGTCCCCAGCTCTTGGTCCTCACACAGATCTGGAGATTCTGGTTGACTCCTGTAGAGCAGTCAGCAAACACACCATACATGTTGGTGCCACTCATCCTCCATCTCTGGCAGACATTACTAGTTGCTCATAGGATTCTGCCAGTGAGTGGCAACTATTCTTTTGCTGCCCCTTTTTTTTTTAGACAGAGTTTTGCTTTTTTGCCCAGGCTGGAGTGCTGGAGTGCGATCTTGGCTCACTGCAACCTCTGCCTCCTGGGTTCAAGCGATTCTCCTGCCTCAGCCTCCTGAGTAGCTGGGACTACAGGCACTCACCACCACTCCTGGCTAATTTTTTTTTTTTTTTTCTTAGTAGAGACGGAGTTTCACCTTATTGGTCAGGCTGGTCTCGAACTCTTGACCTTGTGATCCACCCGCCTCAGCCTCCCAAAGTGATGGGATTACAGGCGTGAGCCACCTCGACCGGCCTTTTGCCACTCTTTATAGGGATTGTCTTAGTCCACTTTATGCTGCTCTAACAGGGTGCCACAGACTGGGTAATTTATAATAAACAGAAATTTATTCAGCTCATGGTTCTGGAGTCTGGGAAGTCCAAAAGCATGGTGCCAGCATCTGGTGAGACCTTCTGGACCGTGCATCCCATAGTGCAGTGCAGAAGAAAGAGAAAGAAGGGGCTGAACTCATTTTAACAAACCACTCCCACGATAATGACATGAATCTATCCATGAAGTCAGAATACTCATGGCCTAATCACTTCTCATTAGGCCTCCCCTCCCAACGCTTTTGCACTGGTTTTAAGTTTCCAACACATGAACTTTGGAAGACACATTGAAACCATAGCAGGGATCAAAGAGAAGTCCTCACCTGAAGGAATGTTGGAGGTACTGCAGGCCCTTCAGTCGCTGATGAGAAGACTGTAGCCCAGAAAGAGGAAGTGACTGTTTTCAAAGTCATCAAACTGGTTGGTGATTGTCATCAGCCTAGTCTCTCCTCTCTCCTCTGCAGCCCAGCCCTGTGAAATGTCCTCATTCTTGCTGGCTGTCATAATAAACTTCCCCACCTGAGATTGCACTTCTGAACTAGGAAGTCTGGCCAGCTGTTGAGCTGCACATTCCTACCTTGAGAAATTCTTATCAAGGAGCCCTCGGTGACAGGCACTGCAGATTGTGGAGGACTTCGCTTCCCTTCTTCCTTCCTGTGGCAATCTCAAGTGGGGTTGTCTCCTCTTCACGAGGTCATCCAACAATAAGAGAAAGGATGAGAAGCCAGGCTCCCGTTGATAAATGAGTGGCTCCAGGGCTTCCTGAAAATTCCATTTACCTAGGACAGTGGCACTCAGCTGGAGGTGATTTTGGACCCCCATCCAGGGGACAGCGGGCAAGGTCTGTAGCAGTTTTCGGTTGTCATTCTGGGGCGAGAGGTGGGTTGCTAACTGGCATTAGTGAGGATAAGCCAGGGGTGCCGCTACCTCCAAGAGGAAAGCCCCCCACAGTACAGAGCTCCCTGGCCCAGAACACCCGCAGCGCTGAGGCGGAGGAACACCCTCACAGGTGACTTTGTGGGGCTCTCAGTCCCCTGCCATTGTTCAGTCTGTTCCCCCAGTCCTCCACCATCATAATTT